TACATGATCAAAAAATAAATGCAATTGATCTACGTCATAGTTTGATCAGTTTTGATGCATTAAGTGGTAGAAACATGACATGCTTCACAGAGTATGAAATTACGCTTTTGCAGTTACTCGGATTCTTTGTAGCTAATTTTCTAGTCTCTAGTGTGTATAGAAAAAAGTTCTACATTGTCAAACACTAAGTGATTTGATTCTGGCTTCTTGTATATAAATAATGAAAAAAATTATCTTCTATAAATTAATTTTTAAGCGCATATCACAAAAAATAGTCGTGTTTGATAAAAATTATTATACTTAATACTTTCAAAGTTGAATACGAGCCATTTTCCCAAATTTTCAAAGAAAATTTATGCAGTCACTTTGATATTTTAGGATTTTGAAGAACATCAATAATATAAACAGGTACATATGTATATTTATATAAATGGTGACCTATAAGGGAACAATACAAATACGTGGGGAAGAATAAAGTAAAAAAAGGGTAAGACCTGAGGTTCTTATGTATTTTTATCACATCAACGATATGTAGAATCTGAAAAATAGGTCGAGATGTCGAAGGACGTTTTTGCTTAGGGAGAATACGTGCTTTGATCAATATTATGCTCTGAATTGATGTTTAACCATTTAGAATATGTTAGACCTGAGGTTGTATAATAATTAGAATATAAAAAAAACGTTATCCCTGCATCATATATAATTATTGATCATAATATAATGGTGAAATACAAATAGAGTGTTGTGTTGAATGAACAAGTATCGAAAGGTTGTTTATACTTAATAAATTTAATTTGTCCATTAGATAGATTTAAATGTTATGAAGTAGTGTGTAGTGGTTGATGCCCTTTGAAGGCAACTCTTTATTTCTATCCTTCTTTTTTTCTCTATCTCTATATGTCATCTTAGTATGGCCTAGTTATTAAGCTTCCTCGTTAACTTGTCCGCTAGATTTCCCTGGTGACATTATTTTGTATTTCTTTCAGCTTATTTTCATTTTATTTTATTTATTGATGCGTATTGACAGTTCCAATTGGTTAAATATCTCGAAAATCCTTTTCAAAAGTCATGACAGTTTTCTCCTTTTCAACAAATGTCAGATATGACACATTTTTCTGTCGAGAGGATTTAAGTTTTTAAGGGAAAAATCGTCTTCAATCGTGGACATATTTGCCGATTTACAAAAATGAACAAGTTCAGAACTACATAAACATTTGTGATATTTCTAAGCTTCAAAAATATAAAAAATTTGGATCTGCATACATTCGTGATTAGGATTAAAATTTATTCTTCAATATTTGGAAATACTGTGTACCACACATTAAATTGAATTTATAAATTTATCATCCAACTTTCTTATAAATATACTTTTCTATTGAATTCTATCATACAATGAATGACCTTTCGTGGTAGCACCCTTTCACAAATTGCAAACTTTTTCGTTCTGAGACTACACTAAAATTTAAAAGCACAATCGACCATACAGGAGAGTATTAGGGAAATATTCTGAAAATTTATTATTGTTATTTAGTCGTACGTCGTGCTTAAAGAAAATGTTAATCATAAGAAGCTTTTGAATTTCCGATAATCCAAAGCTTCTAAAAATTTAAAACCGGAGACAGGAATTGAATAGAATTTTTTCAACTTTTTCGATATCTATATCTAATCTCTTAAAGCTTGTTCATGAATAATTACAAAAATTTTTTTTCTTTATTCGCCGAAATTTTAAAACAAAAATTATAGTATGTGACTTTCATCGACAGAATGGTAATTTGAATAGTCGCGGTTTAACATTTTTATCTAAGGCTTGAGACTTAACTTGATAAAACTTTAAACTTGTGTAATTTAATGCACTTGCCTTCGGTTCTTACGTCAAAGTTTACACTCATGTTTTCGTAAACACGCGCCATAAACCTTAGATCTATGTCGTGACATCTCAAGTATCTGCAAATCGCCATTTTGTAAAAGTTACATAAATATATATATTTCCAACAACTATTCAGTTTATTTGAATACTTTTTTGGAATGAGAGTTGATATTTTTGGACTGACTTACAATTCATAGAAATTTTACTTAATACAATTTCAAAAATTTTCAGGACATCAATGATCATTAACACAATATTTTTATTTGATTTGTATCGAGATTAACTATTTTACAATTTCACAAAACCCCTTACACTGCAGTTTTTCAAATTTATTATGACAGAACTATAATTATTTACATGTACTCTACTAATTTTTATTTATTTTTATTTTTAAGGGGTGCATTTTCGGTGGTACGGAGATGTGTACAAAAAAGCACAGGACTTGAGTTTGCTGCAAAAGTGATTAATACAAAAAAGCTATCGCAAAGAGGTAAGTTACTAAATTCTCAGTTATATGATTTATTATTATTACTGGATTAAATCCGGCACCACGGTAAATGTTATGACTTCTGCATTTCTACTCAATAATTCTTGCTCTGGTTCTTTTGATTATAAATCATAATAAAAAAAAAATCAACCGAAATATTTTGTAAATGGTTCACGATCAGAATATTGAGTATTTTTGACAACAAAAATGAAATAAGGTTGTTGATTGAAAAATGCTGATATTTCAATATTTATTGAAAACTCATATTGTGTTTTCGAGCTTCTCCAATGTCTGGTGTCTAAAAACAACAGGAGACGTTTCTGACGCAGTGCCAAAAATTCCGTTGTAAGCTGTACTATTAACTCTCTCATAACTTTGTGGCGTATTACGGTTTGTTCAACAGTCAATTTGGAAATTAAATTATTATAACATTTTATATCTTCGTATTATCGAATTTATATACTATACATTGCTTTTCTTTTTACACCTGTCGAATGTAGTAGAAAAGCTTTTCTTTAAAGTGAGATGATCCATGCGATTTAAAATGTATAGTTAATATAAAAGTGTGAAGCCAAACTTGCGTTATAATAAGATCAATCAACGAGGCAAAAATGGTTTATTCGATAAATACCTTATTATGATATTAGATTAATCGAATTATGACCTATGCGTAAAAAACAATAGTCTTTTAACGTTAAGAATATTCCGTTTTATTGATTATTGGTTTCTTAAAGAATACCTTTCTTTATAGATTTTTAAATAATAAATAATTTTTATTTTACTCTTTTACTGCAGTTATAAAAATTTCAAGTTTATTAACTAAATTCTTGAAACGAATAATAATAAAGTCTTTAATTTATTAAATTTCACAAATTATTTACTGTTGAAAATAAATTCATAAATAAAATACAAAAATTCCTTCAACTTGACCTTTTAAGAAGCACATATAGTAAGAACTGCAAGTGAAAAATAACTTGAATTTCATGAAGACAATTATCATAGCAGATAACAACTACAAAATTACGACATAATAAATAAAAGGTATATATGTTGTGTGGTAAGGTACACAGTCAAAAATTTTGCGTCATTGCGTCAAAAAATTTTGTGTTAAATATTTAACACTTTTTTGTGTTGATTTAACAGAATAAATTTTTTACTGTGTAAGAATTAAAATGATTTCAAATGAGTTTATTTTGGTTGATTTTCAATATAAAAAAAAAAAAAATATTTACGTTAAAAGATACGAATCAATTACACTAAAAGTTTTTTATTTATTCTATGAAAACTTATAACAATGGATATTTCTATTCATACTTAAAAAAAGTCCTGATAAAAAAAAATTAACTTGATTTAAGAGAAATATTTTTGAACCAAGAAAATAATTCTGAACTACAATTTTTTTAGTTGAAAAATTTTTCTTCTTAAACTAAGACGATAAATCTTTACAAATCTCTTCAAAATGATTTTCTTGGTTTCAGAATTTTTCTCTTGAATGAAATTAATTTTTTTTTCAGTGCACTTTTATACTCTCTAACTTTAAAACAGTGGCTATTCGATACTTTTCAGTGATTTTCACTGTTGCAGATTTAAAGAATATACGACTTTCAATGGATCAAGTTGATTTTCAAGAGTTAACATAGTTTTACTGATATAGATAAATCTTACACGAAATATATTTTTTTCTAATAATATTTGCCAGAAAAAAAATTTACTGGTACGAACTAAATAATTTTAAAGAATTTCAATTATTTATTCTTCTCTCAATAAAAAGAAAAAGTTTTTTTTTTTCTTCCAATAACAGAATATTAATTAAAACTAAAACATTTATAAAGATAACTTTTAGTTAAGGTTGTACGGACACTAATGCACTTTTGAAGATCAGAAGCTAATTTTTTTGTATGTTATAAATAGCTATCTTATACGTCTAAATTAATTTTTTGGAATAGATTAGTCGAAGGGTTATTGTTTAATAAATTATTAAAAAATAGAAATTTAACATGTAGGTTATAGAGACTGTTGACGAGATGCACATTTATCGATTTATGTAACTAAACCATAGGAAGATTAAAAAACAAAAAACTTATCTTTAAATCAATCAACTTTCATAGAATACGTTAAAATTAAAATTAATATTTTCTGCCGAAGACTTTTAAAGCTATTTTAATTCAAAAGATCAGAAATTCACGAAAATATCAGTCCGACATACTTAAAAATAATTAAATCACGTGATTCAGCGCAGTGTGGCAACGTTGCACAGAATAGAACGCGCCAACTTTGAATTTTAATTTTTCCTCTGTATTTCTGTGGGTTATGTTTTTATATTTACTTATAAAAAAAAAAACAATTTGTTGTTTTCAATTTATTAAGCTGTAGAAAAAAAATACATTTAAAAGTATAACTATAATATTAAAAATATAATTGGCAGTAGGGAGAAAGGAAATGTAGATACAGTCAACACTTAACATCACATTTTTTTTTTATTTTTAATCTTTTATATTTTATTACATGCAGAATAACAATCAAATAATTTATTTTTAAGTAAGGACAATACTTATATTATAATAAAATATTAAGTAACAACATTAATTTTTAATCTTAGAACACATAACATAAATAATAATATTAGATTTAAAACGTTAGACAGACTTATTGCATATTACTACTAAGTAGTTCATCTAATTTATTTTTAATTGCAGTTACGCGAGGTTTTTGGTCAATACTTTGGCTTAATAAAATTTTTAAACCTTCAAATCCATCATCTACATAAATTTTTTTTAAATCGCACATATTTATCCCAGCTTTTGCTATTTTGGTAATTATACTAGCAGAAACTCCACATTGCTGTTTATTTTTTTCATTTTTTTTGTCAGCCTTCAGTGCACTCAGTGAATCTTTCAAACTTTTCAATTTATTCTTTTCATTCTTAGCATTTAGAATGCTATCTACAGTAACTCCGGCATTCATCAAATCTTTAGAAGAAATATTAATGTCTTTATGATTAATAAGTTGTTGCAAAACAGAAACATCTGCTGAAGCATCATGCGCAGATTCCTGTATAAATGTTGAACCTAGATAATCTTCAGCCAAAGCAGATTGAGCGAAACTTTTTTTTTCATTACGCCTCTCATTTAAATGCTTTTTTAAAAAAGTTAATGTATCCGTAAAGCCTATCACAATACTTTGAAACTCTTCCATCAAATTAACTTGTTGTACTGTACAAGAATTAGAATCCTAGGTACATCAAACCTGAGTCCATTGTGAGCTGCTAACACGACAGTAGAACTGATAGATTTAAAAAATGCAATTAATTCAGTAATAGCACGCTTTGGCGAAACTGTTTGTATGGGAACAGCATTTTTATGTAGTTGATCATACATCACAGTGAGTCCAGTAATGTTAGATGCTTCAGCCGAAAAGTTACAAGATGGCATTATATATGCATTATATTTTTTATCATGACATTGTGCGGCGATTTGAACTATCTGATCAGTTAATTTTAATCCGGTAGTCTCAATATCAAAGATGACAAGTTTTGTGCTTCCATCAACGGTTAGAGCATTGCTAGAGATGAATTTTTCATTTAATTCAAGACTAGCACTTATTTCACTGTTACTTTGATAAGTAATACCTTCACGAGCTTCAGCGGATGCATTTGATTTCTGTCGATTTCGAAAAAGGGCACGGCGTTTTTTGTTGAATTCTTTAGTTTTAATGAGGGCATTTCTTTTCTTTCTTCTTTCATCTCGATTTTTTCGAAAAAGCAATGAGTTAGCTTTCATTGGAGATAAGCCTAATTTGGTATTTACTGTATTTAAATAACTCGTGCCCAAGTTTACTTGACTTATACCTGCAGCTACACGAAAATCACTGGAACTAGAATCACTGTAGTGTTTTGCCTTCGGTGCTTTAGTCGTTATCACAGCATTACAGTTTTCATTAATCTGACTTGATCCGCGTGGAGCTAACTTTTCTGCATTATCCGCGGCTTGTTTAAAAATTGGCGTGATACTAGCTTTTAACTCATCACCAGTTAAAGGCTTACCACCTGGAAGATATTTATGTTTAAAACCTTCAGGATCACTTGCATAGTTACACCATAAACCACACGCATCGTGTTCACCGAAAGCATGTGGTACAATATTTAATATTGCTGCCTTTGTCGATTCAACGTTACCGTCATTAGCTCGAAGAGCACTATTAAAGCAATATATTAAATACTCAATTGCAGCTTTAGGAATTTTTTTAATAGCATACAAAAGTTTTGAAATTTTTCTTGTTGCATGATTGATATCCGTCCACTTGCCAATTGTATGATCAGATGCCCTGCGTAAATTAGCAATAGTACATGAATCTTCATCACCAATTAATGTTTTTATTTCAATATTTTCTTCTACAAATGTTTCATTTTGAGTAAGAATTTGAACTGCAATATCTGCCTCCATGGCTTTAGAGCTACCGACGAAGTTACTGCGACAATCATGTTTCTTCTTAGAATTTATACGACAATACCTACAACCTTTATTTCTGGTCGCGTAGGCTACGCATTTTCGGCTGTAATGTCCAAATGCTGTTCCATGACCTTGCTTACTATTGTAACACCTTCCGGAACCTTTTTTTTAACCAAGCTCCATCGTATGACAGTCGTAAGCCAACCTTTGTCTTCGGAGTTTTTGAGGTACCGATGAAACTCTGCAACTTACGCTTACGATTTTTAGGCAATTCTTGACTAGAGCTTGCAAAACTTTCTTTAGAATTACTTTCATCTTGAATAAAACTTCCAGTTGAATTTATAACTGCTGAACCCACATCGAAAGTTGAGTCATCACAACATTTATTAGTTTCTTCAAAATCGGTCTCTGCTCCATTATTGTTGTTAGTATCTACCATTATATCAGTCTGAACAGTATTAATAACCCTTTCTGCCATAGGATTAATTATAGTACTGGTACTAACAGCCTTTAAATCTAAATGCCCTGTCTTGGTGTCACTTGCTCCACTATTTAAATTTACTTCAGAATCACCATCATGGAAAGTTTTTTCAGTACTTGTTCTATCACAAGATCTGCAAGTAAATAAGGGAAAAAAAAATTGTTGTCTGTTACAAAAGTATTTTTATTTTTAAAAAAATTTTTTCATTCAATATACAATTGTAAATGGTTGTAAAAATATTATATAAATATGCATGATTATATATGTATCATAAATATTATTAAAAAAATTATTTTTTATTAAAAAAAATATATGATTCACTTCAAACTGTTATAAATATTTTTACAACAACATTTAAAACAGTATAGAATCATATTTTATTTAATTGTTTCTCAGAATATAATATATACAATTTTTAATATATTTGATATAAAATAAGTGTCCATATCAAATATATTTACCCTTCATTCAAAATTGTCAACTCTCGTTCAACTTTTAACGCTTCATGGCAACTTTCCTTGGCAACTACCTCAACTGCTGGTCCAACTAATCTTTCGTACCTACTAGTTGAATAACACTAGTTGAACTTTTAACTTGACGAATTCTATCACATTTTGGACATTTCAAATGAAATACACTCGCTGCTCCAAAAATTTCCTCTTTTATTAGAAAACGAAAACTTAGAGGCAAATCACCATGTCATACACCACATTTCTGTAGCTAGTTTCTCCAAATCAACGATGCGTCGATTGCTTGGTAATTGTACGCCGACACTTTAAACTTTTCATGGAGTTTTTTCGCGCTTTTACTGACGTTATTTTTCCAATTTACAATACTTTTTCTTGCAAATTTCCCCTTGTGTCTAAATTGATTTGCATTACTCATTCTGCTATTACATTACAAATAACCTCTTACAACTTAACCCTAACTCAGCTACACAGCGAGGTAAATATAAACAGCTGTTAAGCGCGATGTTGCCAGGTCTAAGTTTTGTGAAAAAATACTCGAGTCAAACGTTAACTATTTATTGTTTTTGTTAATTAAATTAATTAATTAATTTAAATAATAATATTGTTAGATAACGGTTAAATTATAGTAATGAATTTTCGTGTTAAAATTTTTAATTTTTATAAAAAAAAAATTTAGATTCTATTATGACTTACGGGGTACTGTCCGTGCAACCTTAAATGTATAATTTTTTCATAAAATAATCTACAGCTTCAAGAGTTTGAAACCCGTTGAATTTATAAGTTTTTCGAATTAAAAATGCAAGTATTACTTTCGGATAGTTACTTTAAATTATTAGCTTATTTAGTATATTAATAATAAATAATTCTGACTCTAATTCGGCATTAATGTATGCAATTCAGTGAACTATAAATTTAATTGTTAACTTGAGAGCAGCGCTAGAACCAAATTTTGTAGTTCTTTTTTATTTAAATTTTACTAAACCCGACATAGTAAAGGCTGAGATGTACATTCGATGTATAATCTCGTAGTGGAGATTTTAGAGTACTCAAAAATGGATGCGCGCTTATAAAACACAAGGTAGTTATTAAGTATCTGCAATACAAGAATTCAACCGAAAAATTTTTACACAATCGTTTTATTTGTTTAAACTTTCTTTGGGTTGAGGAATAGTAAAAGGTTATAGTTTTAAAATTGAGTGCTTTCCGTTTACCGAATTCGATATGAACGGAAATTAGATGAGGAAATGAAATGTACGACCGGGCACACCGGTAGTTTGTAAAAGAGAGGCAAAACGAGATGGAAAGGGGTGCATACAGCGGCTCTTGAGTTCTCGGGACGTCACGACCTTGCCCCAGTGCCCGCTCGACCCGATCACCGGCGACTGCACCGTGTGGCCGACGCTGACACGCTTCCCTCACCTCCCACTTTTCAACGTATTGTATCGGTTTCTCGTGTAGGAATGAATTTCCATCTGAGGCTTTATATATCAACTACACCCACATTACCTTTTACACTTTTACTTGTATGTATTCAATTAAGATAATCCAACTTCAACCTCATAACTTGAACATTGTCAAATCTGCTTTTTCTTTTCAATAATTTTGTTTTTAGTTTTATAAATAATTTTATCCTGTAAATTTTATGGTCTCGGTTTTATATGGTAAATTTATCATACTTTTCTATGATATTTTTTTTCAAATCTCTGACATATCCATTCATATATAGTTATAATTTCTGATGTTCTGATATTTCCATATATGTACATATCTGGCCTTGACATGCCTATATCAAGACTGGTATGGTCTGATATGACCATACATAATTTTCTGATTAAGGGTAGTGTTGAGGACCTCCCATAGGAGGTGTATATGATCGCTGAATCATCTCCTTACAAGAAAGTTAAATTTGAAGCGTTAAATCTTCAAAAATACAAATCTCCGTTTCTCTCCCAAGGAGCTGATTTGACTTCGGTTTTTGGTTTAACTAGAAATTTAAATAGCGCGCTACGTGCGCGCCTTAATTTTAATCAATAAGGAATCAAGTCCCATTTTTTTGCGACTATTGTTTCGACTATTGACTAACTTCACACTCTTATGTATTTTTATTGTAGGAATCAATTACTAAACCAATGATTGTTTAAGGAAAAATATATTGGTTAAGAAAATAACCAAGGCTTGGTTACCCACTCTTGGCCCAGGCTCGGGTAATCGTTGCGTTGGCCAAGGCTGATTACCCCATCTTGGCCCAAGTACGGGCTAATATCGGTGCGCCATAATCTTGGTTGCCCAGTACTGGACCAGGCAAGACCCCGTCATTCAACTCTGGCAGTTCCTATATGGGTAGCCCAAGATAATTATCCAAATAGTAAATACACCAAGATAACTTTTGCAGAGCTTCTTTACTGTAATTAATTTAAAAATTTGGTTTTCAACAAATTATAATAGCGAAAATATAGAGAATTTTATGTCAAATGAAATCGACCTTCCATTTTGGGTGAGGCCGAATGGCATTTTTTATTAACTATTTTTTTGAAATTAAGTAAAACATTCACGAAAAAAAGTAAACTAATATTTACTCGGATTCCGATTAATTTTTATAGTTTCAAACAGTAAAGCGGACATCGGGGTGGCAAAAATATAAATATTACAGAACTTAATGTAAAAAGTATAAAAGCCACAATTTATAATTTAATATCCAAAATAAGTGATTAGTAGCTGTCACTATAGTAAATAACGATTCTTTCATCTTAAAAAATTACAGTTTTAAACATTAAAAATTTTGCCATTTCAATATATAGTTCATATTATGAGGTGAAGGGGAACTCAGATGAAAGAGAAGGGGGTCTCACTCTGGGAGAATTTAACATTTGAAATAGTAAAAATTGTACTTTTAAAATATACATTTTAACAGTTCAAGCAAGTCAATAATTGTGGGAGTTAGGCAGGGATTGAGTGAATATAAATAATAATAGAGAAGGAATTAATATGAACGACGTATAAATTTATTAGTAACTAATTACAACGGTTGAAAAGAATGCAATGACTTCACTCGACAACGTGCTAATAGATAATTGACTCGAGTATACAATATTTCGGCGTGACTGCATGCGCAGTAGATCGACGCGTCGGCGCATGTGTGTGTGTGTGTGTAGTGTACGTGCGAATATTACTATATTACTATATCTCCAACACTCTCCCTTAATATAAACACGTACACGGCTCAATTAATCTTTCTCACTCATTCCCATAGCTTTTGTGAGTTTGGCGTGTCTATCACGTGGCAATGCTTTCGTCAAAATGTCGGCGGTCATCTCATCAGTGGATACATGTGCTAGCTGTATCTCTCGATTTTTAATAGCTTCCTTAACAAAATTAAATTGGATTCGAACGTGCTTGGTTCGATCTAAGAATCCCGTCGCCGTCGACGTGTGTATTGCACCCTGGTTATCGCAATAAATAAGGCCCTCTGAATATTTTCCAATGCCTATTTCGCCGATAAGTCCCCGAAGGTACATTGATTCCTTCGTCGCTTCCGTGAGCGCTTTGTATTCGGCCTCTGTCGTCGAAAGGGCCACGGTTCGCTGTTTCCTGGACTTCCAGCTGATTGCAGCTCCTCCAAACATAAATACGTACCCTGTGTACGATTTTGAATCCGTCTTGTCGTTTCCCCAGTCAGCATCACTGTATCCGACGATTTTCTCAGGCGTGCTCCTGTAGGTGAGTCCCAGTCCGGGTGTTCCTTTTAAATATCTGAGGACTCGTTTTGCGGCTCCCCAGTGCTCTTCTGTTGGGTGTTCGTTGAATTGGCTCAATACGCTTACTGTGTGCGCGATATCTGGCCTCGTCGCCACTGCCAAATACATCAGAGTCAGTCCCTTTTTCAGTTCTTTAATCCACTCAGGATTGTTCGACGTGACCAACAAGTCATCGACGTAAACTGCTACGAGCAATATTTCGTTTGCCGTCCTGTATGCGAACAAACATGGGTCTGATACCGTCGGTTTTAGGCCTAGGTTTTTCAGGATTCCACTCAACTTGTCGTACCATTTCTTGCCAGACTGTTTCAATCCATATATTGACTTTCGTAGCTTGCAGACTCGTTCACCCTTGGTGAGATCCTCCAGCATTTTTGATGCTTTTATTTGAACTTCAGAGTCTCTTCTTTCGCTACGCGTAATTTCCACTAGTGCTTCCTTCAAGCCTCCAGGAACTTCCATATATAATTCTTCGTCGACTTTGGCGTGTAAGTACGCCGTTTCGACGTCCATTTGATGAATCTTGGCATCCATCTTCGTCGACAATACTGCTAGTAGCTTTATTGATTCCAGTCTTGCTACTGGTGCAAAGGTTTCGTCGAAATCGAACCCTGGTCTCTGCGAAAATCCCCTGGCTACTATTCGAGCTTTTCTGCGCTCTATTTTCCCGTCGGCGTTTAACTTGTTCTTCAAGATTACCTTGGATCCAATAATTTTTTCATTTTCTGGACATTCCACCAGGTCCCATGTCCCGTGCTCTAGATGTGAGCGTACTTCTGCTGCTAGTGCACGCTTCCACTCGGTCGATTCCGTTCCTCGGATCGCTTCTTCGAGTTCAACATCAGCTATTAACGCTAGTTCTTCGATAAATTTTGCGTCCATGAACTCCTCTCCCTCGTCGGTATTATCTCCATCCTTTTTAGGTGACTTCTCTGAATCACTTGAACTTCTGTCATTTCGAGGACGTTTATCTTCCTGAAATAACGACGTTTCCAGCGGTCTTTTCGTTCTTGGAACCTCTTGTTCGTTGTTTTGGATGAATACATCCTCTGGAATTTCTTCGTCGTCTTGTCCTGGTGGTACTTCCTCGTCTTCTGACAGGTTTTCGCGACTTGACGCAATACTTGACGCACTCACGTATCTGTATAATTTTCGTGGTCGTCCTGGCTTACCAGATTTTTGTTTTCTGGGTCTTCCTCGAGCTCGTACTGGTGAAATTTCTCTATCATGCTCTTCGCATGACCTTCGAGTTTTTGTGACTCTCCCTGGCTCTGGAGTCTCCTCTTCGGGGTGTGTGTACTCAATATCTAATTGTACGACGCCATGTGGTCTCATTACGTGCTCCTCGACTATTTGCACGTCTCTGGTTATGACAACCTTTCCATCGTCGATACGTCGGACTCTGTAAGCTTTTGCTGTCTCACAGTATCCTACCAACCTTCCTTCGGTTGATCTCTCGTCGAGTTTCTGTCTTCCAGGCCCCTTTTCCAGTATATATACTTTGGCTCCAAATACGCGCAGGTGCTTGAGTCCAGGTTTTCGTCCGAACCATAGTTCGAATGGAGTAGCTCCTCCATGGCTTCTACTTGGACAACGGTTTCTTAAATAATTAGCGGTTGTGATTGCTGCTCCCCAATAGATTGTTGGAAGTCCTGCTTGGATCAGCAGGCACCTGGCCATGTCAACGACAGTTCTGTTCATGCGCTCAGCAACACCATTTTGTTGTGGCGTGTAAGGCACTGTTAGACGTCTCTTGATGCCCTCGCTTTTCAGATACTCATCGAACCGCTTGTTACAGTACTCTCGACCATTGTCGGACTGCAAAGCTTTGATCTTCTGCCCTGTCTGCTTTTCGACGTAGTTTTTATATGTTTTAAACGCTTCAAATACTCCGTCCTTGCTTTTTAACAGGTACAGCTCACACCAGCCGCTGTGATCATCAATGAAGGTTACAAAGTAGCGATTTCCACCTTCTGACTTCATTCCTGAGGGTTGGCACAAGTCGGTGTGTATTATCTCTAGCAGTCTTTTGCTTTTCTCGGTTCTCGATGTGAATGGTTTCGCTGTCAGCTTTCCGCGATGACACACGTCACAAGGAGACTTGTCCTTGCTCAGAGGCTTTATTCCCGACGCTCGACCCCTCGATAGGTCAATCACGGCGTCCATGTGCAAGTGGCCCAATCTTGCATGCCATAAATCTGTTTCAGACGTGCGTACCTTCTCAATCGTTGCTGATTTTACTTGTTCTTCCTGTTCCCGTAGGTAATACAGGTCTCCTATTCGATCTGCGACCATCTTGACGTCTCCATTCAGATCCCTGATGAGTGCGTCATCCTTTCTAAATAAAATCTCTCGATCGTTGCGGGTGATTTTCGATACAGAAATTGAATTAGTCCTAAGATCCTTAACAAGTAATTTCGCTTTTCAGATACTCATCGAACCGCTTGTTACAGTACTCTCGACCATTTTCGGACTGCAAAGCTTTAATCTTCTGCCCTGTCTGCTTTTCGACGTAGTTTTTATATGTTTTAAACGCTTCAAATACTCCGTCCTTGCTTCTTAACAGGTACAGCTCACACCAGCCGCTGTAATCATCAATGAAGGTCACAAAGTAGCGATTTCCACCTTCTGACTTCATTCCTGAGGGTTGGCACAAGTCAGTGTGTATTATCTCTAGCAGCCTTTTGCTTTTCTCGGTTCTCGATGCGAATGGTTTCGCTGTCAGCTTTCCGCGATGACACACGTCGCAAGGAAACTTGTCCTTGCTCAGAGGCTTTATTCCCGACGCTCGATCCGTCGATAGGTCAATCACGGCGTCCATGTGCAAGTGGCCCAATCTTGCATGCCATAAATCTGTTTCAGACGTGCGTACCTTCTCAATCGTTGCTGATTTTACTTGTTCTTCCTGTTCCCGTAGGTAATACAGGTCTCCTATTCGATCTGCGACCATCTTGACGTCTCCATTCAGATCCCTGATGAGTGCGTCATCCTTTCTAAATAAAATCTCTCGATCGTTGCGAGTGATTTTCGATACAGAAATTAAATTAGTCCTAAGATCCTTAACAAGTAATTGCGCAGTAGATCGACGCGTCGGCGCATGTGTGTGTATAGTGTACGTGCGAATATTACTATATTACTATATCTCCAACAATAATTACAGTTTGATTTTTAGCGTCGAGTTTAAAATTTACCATTTTACTTTGTAAATATTGACGTTGCTTGTATTAGAAATTTACTAACTTTATTTTATACTTTCTACATATCATAACATCATTTTTTAGGTACGAAATGATAAATATTAAAGTCTGAATTCTTAATTATTATACTTTAGCATTTTAGACATTTACATAGCGAATATTACTGTTTGAAATACTGTTTTCTTCCATGTAAAGAGTAAATTGTAACGTTTAAATTGTAAATATTACAATGTGAATAGTAAATTCACGATTTTACTGTTTGAAATGGTAATTTTTAGCAGTTGATCATTACTTATAATAAATCGACTGTTATTTATTACAGTTTACTTTTTTCCGTGTTGTATCAAAAATTTTTACATTGCTTGTGCCAAGAAATTCAATCAATATTTAGTTTATTGTTAACTTTATTCTCAAAGGTCGTGGCTCGTCTATATTTTTAGGGTTTCGCCATGGAAAATTTAATACATTTGAAGTCAGTAAAAAAAGATTTTCTCATTATTTAAGTCGTCGGATTGCTTATACTTTGTTTTATATTGAGTAATGAAAAAGTTGATATGTATTTTTGAAATCAAGGTTCTTTTAAAACCAACAGTTTTAAAATCCCTAAAAATATTGACATGTGACTTTGACCGAAGCGAATCACTCAAGAGTTTCTAGGCTATTATTAAATCAAATTCAACACGTTTATTACCTATTTATATTTATCTTCGTATTACAAAATATTAAAGTTACCGAACTTCAATATGAATGAAGTTTTTACAAAAACAAAAAAAATTATGGAAAATTTTGAAGGATAATTTCAAAATAATTTAATGTTATAAACTCACCTAAAATAATTTGATTAATGTAAATGAATGAACTGTTTATTCAGATGCACGGTTTTACTCATCATAGTTGTAAAAATTTAATTACATTAGTACATTATTTTAATTTTATCTACATGTTAATTGTTAAAACAAAAGTCGTTTTTATGCACCTACACGGAAAGAACAAGATGACACTGGATATCATCCCAGATTATACTGCGTGATATATGGATTATACTCATTATAATCTGGAATACGCTCATTGTAATCTGGATTATACTAGCTAGTATCTGAAATTTTTTTTTCACTCAGTATACTCTGGGATGATATCCAGTGTCATCTTGTTCTTTCCGTGTATATCGATCTTTAATTTTTTATCCAAAAATTCAAACTTTGTCTGCAGTATCCAAATAAAATTGAATATTTTAATAATAACTTTTGAATTCTTTTAAATTTTAAAATTTTCGGCAGGATATTAAAAGAATAAAGAAAAAAAATTTGGTCAAATTTATCTAAAAAAAAATTTTTAAAACCAAATAAAAAAAAATTAACTTCATTTAATTAAAAGTCTTTAATCAAATGAATGTATGAAATTTTTAAGTAGGAAAAAATTATATTTTATTAAACAAATTATTAAATTTTTGCAATTTATGTAAATAACAAGATGGCGTTTTTTAGAATATAATTTTTGGAACAATGAATAACTGGAAAATGAAGTTAGTGAATAAATCACGACATTGAAATTTCTTAAAAAATCCATTTGCCTGGTTGTCTTGTTCTTATTTTTAAATAATTGAGTAAACATGTAATATTTATAAATAACATGATTATAGAAACATGCATAATAAAAATGTAATAATTTTCTATTAACGTTCATTGAACCAATGCCTAAACGTCAATGCCTGAACGATGTAAAGCGATATGAAAGGTACTATTGGTCACGCGAGACGTTGGTTCTCACGTTATTTCGGTTCGTCAATGGCCACAGCAATCCTCGAAAAGATTATCTACGTCGTCGTCATGTGCCGAGGCCGAGCTATGCTAGTACGCTTGCTTGTGATATTTTTGGACGGTATCTCGGGTTCCACGGTTGCTCCTACACTTATCATTTGTTGACGACGTTTTTACTATTAGTACTCATGGATTAAGATTTTACAGTTCGTAGTAAACGATAAAGACACTACGATTGATATTTGGAATTTGATTTCAATTTCAGCATATTAGAGAAAATAAAAATGAACATTTCAAATTATTTATAACCAAAAACTATAATTATAATGTTTTTATTGCAGATTTTCAAAAACTCGAACGTGAAGCCCGGATATGTAGGAAATTACAGCATCCAAATATTGGTAAGTTTTTTGTTATTGTTTTTATGTAAACCTTACATTGAGGTTACGCAATTAATTTTAGAGTGACTTACATTTGAAATTCTTTTTCATACTTTTTTATAGTAATAATTACTATTATTAATTTTGGATGATAATTTAATTATTTTTGACATCGATTTTCTAGTCTAGACTAAAAAATTCAAAATTCGAAAAAACAATTTATTTTTTTCAGTAAAAAAAAATTCAAATTTTGAAGAAGTTTTTTTCCTCAGCGAAAAAAGTTCAAATTTTGACAGTGCTAATAATATTTTCAATACAAAATGAATAACATCTATTGATAGTAACAATTATAAGCTTTATTTTTAATACACGATGATAAAAATAACTTAAACTTTGAAATTATGTTTTACGTGAAAGAATAACATAAAGCAATATTGAAAACTTTTGAAAGAAAGCTTTTGAGAGATTTAAGTACTTTCTGTTAAGTTAATTAATGATGAGCGTAAGAAATCTTTTAAGTTTTATGTAGATAACCAAGTAAGTAAATAATTACTAGCAACCTGCAGTCATTATGTGACTGCTGAGAATAAATAATTATAAATAAAAAAAAACTTTGGCTTAATGATTTTATGATACTTCTAATCACAAAATACATAGTTTGGATATTTTTTTTTAAAATAAAAAAAATAATATTGCTATGACAGGATCAATTACCAATAATTTAATGAAAAACTTATAAAACCAATAGACTATTCAAAACTGTTTCAAAAGTTTAATATAAAAAATTGGCTATCACGGTAAAAATTTCTTTTAAAATAATAATTTCCTCGTCACAAAATTTTTCTTATCCCTTTAATTATTTAAATGACATAAATTGACTATCGACGAACAAATATCAAGCTGTTAAAAATCAGTAATAAAAATTATGACCTTTCTGAAGGCACCATTTCATTGTAGAAACTCATTTTATAATAATAATTTGTGCTGTCATAAAATTTTTCTCATTCTTTTAATGATATAGATTAATGTTTGTCATAAAATAATATAAATAAATAAACAAATTTTATCAAATACAAGATTTAAATCTATTTAGATTTATTCCAAATTATTCCAAAAACTTATAATCAATTAACTATCGCTGAAAACCATACGAAACCTTGAAAAGCCACAAATTCAGGACAAAACCTTTCCGATGATGAAATTTTCCTTTTCCTCTGAATTATTTTTATGACTTTGAAAGTGATTAGCTATGGGAATCTAGTGTTGATAAATTATGAAAATATTGTTTACTTGACCACTGAACCTGTAAATTTTTTCTAATCATGTAACGGTTCCGGGAGTTAATTTTGGATTATCAAATTTTGTATTGAGAGATTAATAATTTCAATAGGATTATATAATCTAATTATATTATCAACATCTATTCGTTACGCTGGGAAGTATTATCTATTTCATAAGTTGTAAATAATTGTTTGCATACTAAAACATTCAAACGTGAGTATACACAAATAATATACATATATAATTACAACTATAGAGAATATCAATGAGTTATCACAGGCTAACAGCTAATTCAATGTGTATATTGGTGGGCATTTCATCGTCAGTGTATATTATCGTAGGACAACTGGGAAGAGACCATGAGATAAACAATAGCTTAATCCTGATTCGTCAAAGTGTCGATAAATTCAAATTGAAACTTGACGTCGACGCACGGATACGATAACCACATGCTGTTCTGACAATAGATGGTTGTTAATTTTCCAGAGTAGTCGCTTATACAATTGACATTCTCGGAATTGAGCATTAATCAACACTGATTAGTATTTTATTATAACTTGTAACATTTTATAATTTAACAACAGACAAGAAATGGTAGATTCTAAAATCTTATTTGTTTTATAGCGAAAAAATTCAATTGCGATTACAGTATGAATTTGATCGCTGAAAAAAATTATTGTTAAAAACGAATGAAAAAATCACGATCATTGTTCCATCCTAACGATTGTAATTCGAAGATCTTAAAACTTTTTTTTCTCTTGAAAATATAATAGTTGCTCTTCAGAAAAGTTATTAAAATAAGTTACTCATTTTAGTGGATCGTTGTCTTCCAATTATGGTAGATCATTATTTTGTCCGACTTCTCCAAATACAGTAAATTACTGCCATAAAACATTTTTAATGGTCCTTTTTTATTTTCAAGTATGAAAAATAATTTTATTACTGTACATGTAATAAAAAAACAATTTTCAGTAGAACGCATTAAATCAGTAATGGCTAACTACTTCATTTTATGTTCTGTGTTCATCTAAACTATCATTAAAGTCAACTAAATAATAATGCACGTTGTTTATTGATATTTATCGTCGCAAACTAATTAAATCTGTTGTGGTAAAAGCTATTTCGTTTATGATTAACGCACATTTTTGATGAATAGACCATGATCATTGTTTTCTATGAATGTCAGTAGCTACTCGTGTTTGATTAGTAACCAATACAAGGATTGATAACCAACAATTCCAAATTGAAATGATATATTTTGCACGTACAGAGTTAATTAACCGGAATTGTCTCTATGAGTTAGTTAATACCTATACATCTAATACAATGTGCTTCTCTTGTTCTGAAGATGTGTACTGATTAATTTCAAATAATTTTTATTGCCATAATGTATTCATATGCTATAAAAAATATATTGTTTATAAAAACAATTCA